ATGCAGCCTTATCCAAAACCACATATTCCACATATTTTTTTTATCTATCTATTTTACCCTCTGATTTTCTATCAGTTCTGAAATCAGGCTATCTAAATGTCCCTATGATGGGAGATTTTTAAAGCTGTCTTCAGCATGACAGCTGATTTTCTCTGCCTCAGGTATCAACACCAAGTGCCAGCCTTTTGACTCCGGGGTGTGTTTGTTCCTGTTACTGACAGATGCGTTCCTGATCATCAGGTCAGAGAGACAGATACTTGCATTTTCTGCCAGTTACTGTCTTGCACCCTTTGGCATTTGTAAAGTACAGCCAGATGAAACAGGGTGATCTTGCAAACCCCAGGCTGGCCAAGGCGATTCTGATTTCAGTCTCCTGTAGAATCCAAAATGGGGCTCAAGGACGTTCTTCTGTTCTTGGTCTTCTTACAGCAGATAAAAATCAGGTTACCAGATAAAAATCACCTAGGTTTTGGCTTCTTCTGCCTCATGGCAAGGACATTGGGTAGGCCTTGAAACACTGCCTGGTTATCTCTAGTTAAAGAGATTCTCATCAGCACTGGGAACAAGCCCTCCAGGTGGGCTTTGGTGACTGCGTGGCCCAGGTAGGATGGGACATGTAAGATGACTTTCTGCTTTCAGGCCCCTAGAAGCCTTTCCTTAAACTACCTGTTGGAAAGAAATGGGCTTGAAGTCAGTGTATCCAATGGTTACAGCCATGGATGAAGGCTTTTTAGTGTTTCATTCTCTCATTGCAGAGTTTCTGAAAGAGTTGGTGAAGGTTTTTCTTCCTGTCAGAGGCCTTATCTCCCAGCGTAATACATTTCGTTAATATGTCTAAGAAGCAATCTGGTTATCAACTCAGCCTAGAATGAAAGTTGAGGAAGGTCAGGCCCTACTGACACATCTACCCATATATTAAATCCTTGAGGAAAAGAGTATCGACCATAAATTCCATCCCTAAACCAGCAGATTTTGCAAACAGAATGACTTTTAGATATCCTGCAGAACAGTTGGAGGCAATCAGCATTGCCCTGCATGGAAGATCCTGCTGCTCTGAAGGTGTTCAGCTGATGTTCTGTAGGAATATTCCTTCTTCCAGTAATGAAGATTTAGAACCTCGTATACTGTTTTGAATTGGAATTAAAAACAAAATTATATGTGTCTCTTGAAAGTGGAATCTGATACAGGTGAAAAGAAATAAATTTCTTCAAGAAGGCAAGTATTTCATTCTGATAAAACTCTTTGTAGAGAATTTTTGCAGGAAGTTAGATACTGAAATTCATCCATTAGTGGTAATAAATCTTGCTTTAATCCGTCCAATCCATAATGTCAAAAGCTTTACAAATTTTTCTGTGGAAATGTATCAAAATATAGTGGTCATTCAAAGTCCTTCCAAATCTTGATGCTTTTATAATGTCTGATTACAGTTTGCAGTAGATGTCAATTTTGAAGGTGTCAGTTTTGTTTAATTACCTGGGAACTTGATCATAGGGTGAATAACTTAAAGCCGATTGGGATTATTTGTGTTTTCAGTTGTATTATTAAAAACTTTGAACAAATGTTGTGACTTCAGTGGAACCATTTGGGTACATGATAGATAAGAAGTCAACTCGTCTCAGCACAGAACTTTTGCAGAATCTACTGTGTACCCAATTTAGCTAGAATCAATGGCAGCAAAGTTGACAATCCCTGACAAGAATGTTTTTTGATATAGCAGTACACAATATCTTCCAATACCTTTAGCATCCTTATTAAATTAGTCATATTTTCTCGCTCTTATTTGAAGCCTAATGTGTATAGCTGTGGTTTTATTATAACACAGAGGGACAGAATAATAATAATTAAAAAAAAAATCAGACAAAGTAAGAATGATATTCCAGAAAAGGAAAGAAAGCTAATTATGGATGGTATTGTGTAATTTTAGATAGTCAAGCAGAGATCATTTTAGATTTAGTTTACTTTTTTTTCAGACAAAGATGAGATTGTTAAGCTCAGTCATCCTACCACTGTTGTTTTGTAAATTGAATTTCCTGCCTTGTTTGCTACTCATTGAGTTAGTGAATCTCAACAAGTGTGAGTTGCCAGAGGGTTTTACAAAATCAGTGATGGACCCTTGAGAAGTAAGTTTGCACATATGAAGTACATGACAAATAGCAGCAGTAACAGTAGTAACTTGATTATGTCTATACACATGGAATTTATTTTATTTTAGCATTTTATAGTCTGTTTCTTAGTCAGACAATGCATTAGCTACTTATCGTGGGACATTTAGGTACAAATTGATTTAAGGAACAAGTGAAAATAAATGTCATTTTAGCTTAGCTGAATGATCACAGTTAGGCTACACTTTTGGGTAATTCTTACACTACCTGTACAGTCCTTTTTGTAGCTAGTGGGTGGTGTAACATTGCAGCCAGCACTTCAGTGCTAGCAGGGGCCATTATTATTGCACCGTCTAACCTCATCCTTAACTCCTTAACTCTATGATTTCATCACTGAGCTCATAAAGCTATGGTATACTTTGGGGGAAAATATGTAGCCTTAATGTAAAGCCTTTGCAAGAAAGAGATGTGGGTCTTGGTACACTGTTACAGTGATGAATGCTCTTCACTGTTTCAGTGTTGCCTATTTCCCATCTAGATTTTGTGTAGTGTGGCTTTTAATTGTCCTACCTAGTTATGCAATTTTGGCAAGACTAAAGAGCTTTTCTTTTCAATAAATTAATTAAGCTGACAGCTTCCCTATTGCTATGTGATGGTGGCACATGCATATATTAAATGTTTGCTTTCACCATGCACAGGAACTCATGCTAAAATATACTCCGGAAATGCATGCATTTCTGGCATTCGATATAGGAATCATCCATTTATAGAGATTTTTGTAATCTGCTCCCCAGTCAGTTGTTAAGTAGTTTGTTAAGCAATAAATAGATTTGTAGAATGCTAATGCTTAAGCACAAACATCAATCAGCATTAACATATCCTGGCAAAGCTAATGCTTTACTGTCCTGTAGTTATTTTACGCCTAACTATTCAGTAGCACTGACTTGTTAAGAAGTCTCTACTACCCTAAAATAACTTGCGAAGTAATAAGCAAAATGTTGTCTGCCTTGCAGACCATACTATCAAGTATTGATGAAAGAAGTAGTTGTTGTTCCTATATATATTAATGTAACATTCTGGTGTTTAAAATGTAACCCGAATAACATGAAAACTCCGTAATATTTTTCAGAATCACATTCAGCCATAAATATTTCAGCCAGCTTTCATTTGATATTGTACTGTCCTTAAACCAGTTTTCTTTTTCCTTTGAAAGTACAAAAGGGATAAAAGTTATCATATTTTAATAAACAGTATTATGTTGATAGCATCTTTTCCTCCCCCCAGCATCACAGGCTCTTTTTTCACCCTCTGCCCTTTGCTAGGGAGTGCTGGGACCTACAGCTTTCTTCTATTTTGTCTCCATAGTCCTGACAGTTGATGCTAGTCTTCAGTGGGATTTCTGTAGCACAGGGACAGTTGGAAGACTCATCCTGATGATTTCCATTTTGCCTTGGGTTGTAGACATTTGGGAGGAATCAATTGCTTTGAGTCTACTTCAGAAATATTACGTCACCCAAGGTATTTTACTCACCCACGTTCACAGCAAATGTCAGAAAAACTCAGAAATAAATACATTTTATTACAGCAAAGCAAAACATTATTTTTTCAAATGAAAAATTGGAAATAAAGTTATGAAAGGCTGAAACTGCAAAACTGCAATTCCAGATCAGTCCTAATGCTAAAGCTCCTCTCTAAGGCTTTATGGAATGAACCACAGCAGAACTGGCTTCCAGTATTACTGCCTGAGGGAATGGGAACGTGTAGCAATGCCAGGCAGCGTTGCCTTTGGCCAGCATGGCTCCCTAGAACTGCATCAAGCCAAAGCATATCCAGGCTAGCCACCGAAGAGAATAGCAGTCTTCCCTCTGCTTTGGCCCATTGTTTTATACTTTTGAAGGTAGAATCTATCTTTGAATTTGATAATATGTACATAAGCAGCTTCATACAACTTATCTTTTGGAAGTACATACATCAGCAATAAAGGGGCTAATCCTTGTACCAATATGGTATGGTTTCTGGGAGTTACTGAGTATGTACAACTAGGGTTTTGTTTTCATAATGTTAGATGTAAAAAAATATTAATATACGCCTGCCATCCATATTATCGTGTCTAAGTTGAAAACAGAATTTAGTGGAGTACATATATATCTTTGTTTTCTACTTCTGCCAGACTGAGAAAGTGTGTAAGGGTTGCTATTACTAAGCATTACTCACTCTAAAAAGGTATGAAAACAGCCATACTTTCTCCAAACCTTCTTGGCACATTTCTCTGAGTCCTTTTTGGAGCTCAGATTTCATAAGCGTCATTTCTTCTCATTTCTCCTCTCCATAAGTAGCGGTGCTGATGGTACGAATTAATAACTTTGTTCCAAACTTAATTCAGCAATACTTCCATAGCAGTCTTTTAGCAGGAGCATTGTTTGTGAATAGAGGAGAATGGCTAGTTATCTCCATGGGTATTTTGAAACTTTCTCTCATTAAGATGTAACCCTCCAGCACAAGAAAATTTTTAAGCAGTTGGTAAAATCAAAGTTTTTTTTTAATAGCATTTGCATGGTTCAAAATAAGTATTTTAAGAGTACCTTGATTACAGTAACTGCGGCTTGATTATTTAAGGTTTTACATCTGTGACTACCGTGTGATTTACCAAAATGTAAAATGTTCACATCTTATTTGCATGTCATTTAAAAAGAGATATTAGAGTTGAATCTCTCAAGGACTATTCAACCAAAGAAAGGCTTGGACTTCATAAACATACACAATGAATATGCACAGGAGAGATTGTGTTAACCCAGGTGTATGGAAAGTCCTAAATTTTAGCCCACCAAATTTACGCATTGCAACCCAGCCTGCCTGGAGCATGATCCTCATGGTGTGGTGTATTTTCTCTCTCTCCAGGAATGCGACAAGGTAATGACTTTGGCACACAGTATCGCTCGGCCATCTACACGTTTTCTCAGGAACAGATGGAAGCTGCCTTGAAATCTAAGGAAGAATATCAAAAGGTAATGCTGGGCAGGGTGTGGAATTGCTTCACATATGAGTGAAGGTCAAAGAAGTTGCCAATAAGCACAACATCACTTCTTTCGCTATGTGTTTTCTCCGTGTTGTTGTTGGAGCTCCTCATTCAAATATTGAAATTGGATCATACTTGCTTTAAATTCCAGTTTTTCTGAAAAGGTTAGTGTGTATATGTGTGAATAGTTTTGATAGCTTTATGCAAAAAGAAAATATTTTGTTACTTGTGCAGTGATAGGTGTAATCTCTTTTAGAGATTTTTTCATGTGGGTGCACCAGAGAAAAAGTCAGTGATCTTAAAGCTACCAAAGTGAATCCAGGCCCCATATTCTGAAGGGTGTATCCAAAGTCTGAGACACGAGTTCTTGAATTTTGGGGGAAAGTCCTGATCAATCTGTGAACTTGGGAACTCAGCATCACTCACCTGCTGATTTTAAGTTGCTTCTACTCCATAAATTCCTTTGTTTAAATGTGGCAGTCAGTGACTTTACAAGACCATTTGTTTTGATGCTAGGATTTGTGTGAGAGAAGATTGACTATTTCCTTTCAATACACAATCCTATTTTTCTCTGGAGATGGATTCTGTCTCTTCTCTGCTGTATAAGCTATTATAGACCTGGCTTTAACTAGAGGCAGAGAGGTTGACGTGTCCTACCTATAGTGTTGCAGCATTGTAATTACTGTCTGATCTGCCTTGTGGTCTTGCAGTACAACATACAGATTCTACAGAATGTAGAAACATAGAAATGCTTACAGCTTACATGAAATAATCTACTCACCTTGGACATCAATGCAATAGGAAAAGTAACTGTTAGGTGGTAGTAAGACTATATGAGCTTTCGTGCTTTCACTTGTACTATGACTCCATTAAAGTGTTATTATGTTGAAAAACCAAGGATTTGGTGACTATATGATGTTAAAAAATAAAAAGCTGTGTTTTGGTAAGTGTGTATCAATCAGAAGCGTGTACCAAGCATGAGAAGGAAGTGCATGTACTGAACTCTTGTGCAGCATCTTGGTTTTCGTAAGTGCATGTGTGGCATCAGTGGGCTGATTTAGGTGTGCACTGGTGGGACTGGTTTGTACATCCAGTGGTTTGTACATACATATTACAATACATGCCAATTAAGTATTCGATGGCATATATGTTTTCTTCTGAGTAACTGAACACAGGCATAAGTCAGTCTTGCAGGTACACATCTTTGTTAACAACAGTTTCTGAAGATTTGGTATTCGTATTTGTCATGCAGAACTTCTTTCTACTCATTATTTACCTTAGATCCATTGCTTTTCCAAATTGTTTTTAGTTGCCTTTCATTAACATCTGCAGACCAGTATCACACTATAAATCTTACAGCTTTCAGTTTGCTTTCCCAACTCTATTATTCTCAGCTGTTATTTGTCATTAAATTAATACGGACTTGAAAGCAAAATTGCAATGCAGGAGATTGCAATGTGATATTACAGAAATTTCCATCATCAAATAGATTTTCTTAATGGCACAATTTAGAATTTACCTACTTTGAAGTCTATCACCATTTGAAAAGTGTGTATAATCACTGCATTTATATAATTAGGCACAACTCTGTAAGTGATCAGATGCATAGTTTGTTTTTTGCACTAAAGTAGGAGGAAGGAAGGGACTGTGTTGCCAGCTAAGGAACCACAGCAAATATGTACTGGAATTCCTAGAGGAAATGCAGTTTCCAGTATTATCAACAGTAGTATCTACAGTATTTACCGTGGTATTGCAGTAGCAGTAAAATGTTTGTGTTGGAAAGACACTGAGCAAACAGGATGTTCAGGAATCCCTTTTCATATTAAATACTTCGCATTACTTTATTTTAAGGAAATGTAATTGTATTTATTGCAGTATTTTAAAATAAATACCAAGTTCTTTTTGCAGGAGTACATACCTTTATTTGCACCTGATAACTGACAAATAAAAACACGTGGGGATGGCATAAAACTTGGGTTTTCATTGATAATCAGTGGTGAATACCTCAATGGGGGAAGGACTAGCAAGTATTAAAAGTACAGTAACGTAAACAGGTATGAATGACTTTAAGGTTTTCTGGTACAGCAAATGAATAAAAGAAAAGGTAGTTTATTGGTTGCTGACTGAATAATTGAGCATGTACTCTTAGATGTGTGTTTGAGCTGAGAACCTGGAAGAGGGTGAAGAGTGGCCTCCAAATCGAACACTATGGTTTTGCTAATTCTTATTTTTATTTTTTCATAAAGCCAGGTATGATTGTTAACGTAAAGGAAGCAGTTCTGTTCACTGAGGGTAGAAACCATCCAACTCCAAGGTTTATGTCATGAATGTCTGCCTCTTTTGCAGCCTCGCCTGAAGTGCCAGCTCCTCTCTGGAAGCTGGATGACTGTGTTCAGCCCTGCCTACATTTAGCAAGTGGTGCGGGCTGAGAGGAGCAGATGTGCAGAACAAAACAGGTTGCGCTGAAGTCCCAAACTACCCTCTGTGCATTTCAAGAAGGTTTGTGTTTTGCTACATGTAGTTTGGTCCCCTGAACTGCGTGGCATTAGCAGGTGGAAGCCAGTGGTGCGTTTCTGGTTTAGCTCCATCTAAAGGAATTGGGTTCATCCATCCCAAGACCACTCCGTGATGTGAACCAAAGCGTGGTAAGAGGCGATGATCAGGAGATTTATTACAAAAGCACACCTCTGCTCCAAACTGGAACGCTAATGGAGCTTACACATTTGGGGTAGTGCTATGCTTGAGTGGCAAAATGCTGCAGTAAGTGCACCATGTCCCCAGCTCCTAGCAGCCTACCAGTGCGAATCGTAATGAGCATCGAGCCCGAGTATCCTGCAGGGTTACATCTATTTTAAGTTGTGAAACTTGTTGCTGATTCAGGCAGCTGTTTTAACAGCTGAGAAATGGCAATGCAGCAATGAATATGCATTGAACCATGGGTTTTTAGCTGTCAGTGAAGCTGAATGCATACAGTCAGAGTCAGCTAGTGGTAATATATATTATAATACAGTACTGCGGCTGATAAATTGTAGCACAATGTACACGTAATCAGAAAAACATAAAATGAGGGCCAGGGCTTGGTGAAAGTGCTGTGAATGAACTGTTCCATCAGTTTTGCCTGAAGCTGATGTTTTTTAATACAGTTGAACCTGAGGTTACTCAATTTTCAAGACAGTTGCTTGGTTGGATTTGGTTTTCAAATGAATTATCTGGGCAATAATCCAAATAGCAAAATTAGGAAAGGAAGAAATTCTGTATATTTTTTTTTCCTGAATCACAGGCCACATTTGTTTTGTCAAGCTGCTAAACCATGCAAGGCAGGGTTTTCGGGTTCCAAGAATATACTGAGTCCCCCCTGCCATGGTTGGCTTAAGGTAGCACCCCAAAAATACCTCCATTTCTGTGTCCTCATGTAGGACAGAACTGACAGTGAGCACTGTGCACAGAGAAAAAGGCAAGTCTATTCATTTATTACAGAAGAAGATCCTCCCACAAAGCAACTAAAGGGCCTCCCTGTGAATAATTATGAATTAAATCCTGAGCTCTTGACAGAGGTGCTGGGTGATGGGAGCAGTGATAAGGTCCTGATTTGTTACAGCTGAGAGAAGTTGCTGGGGAGAACTGCTCTCATTTGCTCTTATAGCTGTAACCTCAATAGACTTATAAGGGCTCAAAGAGACAGTAGAATAGAAATGTTGAGATTTATGAAAACATTAAATGTGTGGCCTTTACTGAAGCCCAGAGAACTGTTAATTTTTTATTTTTATTTTTTTAACTGAACTTAGAGGAAATATGGATAAGTAAAGAGGTAATTTCATCTGTTTGCTTGTTTGCTTAGAGGTGGATAGAACTTTGCTACAAGTAATGTAATGCATTGGTTTTAGGATTTGGACTGTAAAGGTATGATTTTGGAAATTTTCTCTGCTGGAGTAGGTTGTAACACTGATAGAAGTCCTCCTGAAATCTAAACCATCTGGTCAACGGAGAACAAATGAAGGAAAACAATAACTGTACCAAAGCCAGAGTTAAAAAGAGAAACATAAAAAAGAAGCAATGCTAATTGTTTGCTTTGGAGCCTGCAAATGTGCTTAAGGAGTGTGAAAAGCACTGTAGCTAGAGGTGAAGATATTTAAATTAATATATACAAAACAATGTAAGTATAAAAGATCCAGACAACTGAAAGTAACCCATTGGCCAATCAGCTAGGCTGGGGAATATTCTCCTTGTGGAAATGTTGGGACTCATAAAGCCACAGGTGGGGAGATCCTGAAGACCTGTGTATTATGCTGATCACACTGCAATTTTTGTCTTCAACCTTAGTAGCTAAGTTTTGCTGAAGGTCTGAAGAAGATACTTGGTTAAATGATTGAAACTGACTTCATCAGAATTTATTTATTTATTTTTTTTTTTGCATTTCATCAGAGGGTGTTTTCAGTTAATCTAAAAAATGACTTGGTATGCTGAACATGAATTTGACCAAACACCTACGTTTTATTTTTAAATCAAGCAACGAAAGGTTTTATATGATGGACTAAATTCCCTATTGGTGTCAATCCACAAGATCTAGTTTAGATGTACCATGCATTAGTTTTGCTTATGTAGCTGAGGAAAGAACCCTTCAAACGATGACTTCAGATCCTGTCTAGTTTCACCAATGTACGCACTGGAGCATCTGAAAGTTGTTTTTATGTGTGCGTGTGAAGGGTGTTTGTACGTCTGCTGGTTTTGTTGGTTTGTTGGGGGTGGGGGAGGTCTGAATTTGTTCAGTTTTACAATTTTTTAAATTTTCAAAGACCAGAATACTTAACATAGTAAATCATGGATGACCATGGGAAGAATGTGGATGAATAATATCTTACAGACTTTGACTACACGGCTGAAGTTCATTTGCAATGGCCCACCGTTCAGCCTGTCTACAGTTACAAGATAGCCCTTCTGCTCCTTAACTTGCTCACAGAAGATCCGGGATGGCACTGAACTTACACTGAG